GACCAGTAGAGCTGCATGCTTAACAAGTCAAATTGTGTATGTTTCCAAACCTCTTTGTTACAGTTACCCTTATCATCGTAATTACTTATTTAATTAAATATTAAACAAATGAATGAAAACTGACTGAGAAAAGATAGTATCTTTCTATATAAACCAAGGTGAATGTTGCAGAAAGACTCAATAAAAGTAAGCAAAGAAATACATTGTTGCAACAGATGTGATAATTCAATAATAAAATATTGGATATAAAACATCAATACATAAAATCCTACACTTAGATGGTTTCATGAATGTCTTTATGCGTTTGCTTTAAAGAAATGGAAACTGGAAAAGACAAGGCAAACTGTGGACCCTCAGAGAAAAAAGGCCTTGGCCCCACAACAAAATATCTGTGAGTGAGTCTATATGTATTAAGTTAAAATGTTTGCAGTATGCATGTATCTTTTATTATTACTCCCTAATTTAAGTGAACTCACTAGCACCAACTATAGCACCTAAGCAGGCTTCTACTATAGTTTTCTGAACTCCATTGATTTTCTAAATTTTATTCTAGTTCTATAGTACAGCTGGAGTGATATAATGCTTTCTTGCTACAAAGTATATATACACAATTTTAACCAAAAAGATAAAACAATGGGTACTCTAAAGTCTTCAAATATAGCAGAATATTCCATTTTATGATGTCATGCTATGAAACAGACTCTGATAGCAGACTACTTGGTGAAATAGATATATGTATTTGCCATTATTCTTTTTGCAGGGGTGTGAGAAAAGGAGATCCTACCCCATATAAAGGGCACACTTTAAGAACTGTCAGCACTGACTCTCATTTGCCCAATTTATACAAAAGGGAATTTTGGTTTCCAAGAGATCTTGAAAGATGAGAAAATTACAAAAAAATAGGAGAATCTTCAGAGCATACGTTCTGGGAAAATTCTTAAAAGTGAAAATAAAATTTAATACACACAAACTGACATGACCAAACAAGGTAAAGTATTTATTTATTTCTACCCCACAAACCAGATCTACATGTCTACTCCAGAAGTTTTCAATGTTAGAGACATGTAGGATAAGAAGAATGAAGATTGGCCCAAAGCCATGGTAAGTATACTATGATGTAACTAAATAGTCCACATGAGAATTATGCTCTCTTCCCACGTCTACATCAATATATACAGCCATATGGAAGTAACCATGGCCACAGATACAAACCACGCACACACATAAGGAAGAGAAATATATACTCACTAGGCAGATCACTATTTTAATGCTAAGGGCACTACAAAGATAGATGAAAAATTTCACAAATAAGCTATAAAGGATGAGAGAAACAAGAAAGGAGCTATATAGCAGAGACTATCCATATGTCAGAACTTTGGGAACTAAATATTCCAAGGAATCTCAGATAAAAATAAAGTGTGAGGCTTGGAATCAAGATTAAAAACTAAAAGAAGAGACTGGTGTCAGAGGCTGTCAACACTGCTTATAAATGCAAATATTGAGGGCTGAATTTGAGATTGGAGATGAAGTTAGCATGTCTGGAGTTGTTTGTATTTGTTTTAAGTAGTATAAAGAAAATGTCTAGGTATTTTTCCCAGTTTATGGTTGAAGATCAGAAAGTAACGAGGCTGGATGCAGTGGCTCGTGCCTGTAATTCCAGCACTTTGGGAAGCCAAGGCAGGAAGATTGCTTGAGACCAGGAGTTCCAGACCAGCCTGGGCAACATAGTGAGACCCTGTCTCTACAAAAAATTATGAAAAATTAGCCAGGCATGGTGGTGCATGCCTGGAGTCCCAGTGACTCAGGAGCTTGAGGCAGGAGGATCACTTGAGCCCAAGCTCAAGGCTGCAGTGAGCTATGATTGTGCCCCTGTACTTCAGCGTGGGTGACATAGCAAGACTCTATCAAAAGGAAGGAAGAGAGGGAGGGAAGGGAAATATTTGTCCATTAAAGCAATAAACTCTTAAAAGAGAAATGCCCTGTGAGTCATTTCTGATAGAAATGATGAGAATTGCTGCAGGATCAGAATATCTCTGGGGCAAATGACACACAGACCAGACTGGAAAAACCTAGAAAAGGCTACAGAACCATTCAGCTGAGTATTTCAAGACATGTCATGAAGAATTTTTATGCAATACCCTATGACAGGAAGTTAGGCTGGACTCAATAGCTGTTTGCTATTGAAAGCATGGGCCTGGAAGGAGAACAAGCAATATAATGAAAGATGTGCCCCTAGTAGGCATTCCATAGAGAGGCTTTTCATCCAAGTAGCCAATTATCTTAGCCCACTAAATTGCAAAAGTCATCATAATAAGAAATATTTACTGAATAACCAACTTCTTATAAAATTAGTACTTGCCCAAATATCTCCCTCTCTTCAATGCCAGCAGCTATCTCTGCCCATATGGTAACCCCTTTGTCAGTCTTCTAATAAACGTTGGTGTTATAAATATTAGCCAATGCAATGTAAACACAAAACAAATTAAAATTAAAATTCTTGCAAAAGATAGAAGACTTTCTGAAGTTGATAAAAAGAATGTCAGGAAACCATTTAGATCACATGTAAAGACATCTAACATTTAAAAATCTGGCAGAATTAGGACTTTTACAAGGAAGAAGAGAAAATAACACAACAACAATGTACAATTGGTGCTTCTAAATGAAATAATGCGAATATCAGAGGTTTAAGACAGACTCTTGGAAAAACAAAGACTTCATTAATATTTTTGGTGGAAAAAGGGTCTCTTTATAATCAAGCTGTAACAGTCAAATAAAGAAATTTTTATCATGCTATCATATTTTATCAGAAAAACAATACCCAAACAAAATTCATGTGACTCATTCTTTGTCCTAAAAATTAGTGCACAGTTGTAATATAATCTAAATATTGCAAAATAAAAACTTTTTAAGAACCCACCTTCATAAATTTTAGTTTCACTTTTCTAGGTGAGTCTTAACCAAAAATTTTCTTTCTTTCTTACAATAAAAGTTTCGTTCTGGTTTTAAATACATGCATGTTACATGGTCATTTCTATGCTCAGATGACCAAGTCTTATGGTACTTAATGAACTGATTATAAGTACTTAATGAACTGATTATCTGTGCAACAACATTACTAGTTCATTGTCACAAGAGGTGTATGGCAAGGGCATCTTTCAAAATATCTGGCCAGCAAAGGGAGGCTGCAATTTACAGGACAAACCTATTAGTGAAGGAGTATTTAAAAGCAAAAGTCTACTTGACTTCACAGGGTATATATCATTCTTATATGTCCTGAGGAACTCTTACCCCTTGTTGTATATTTCCCTAAGCTAGTCCTTAGGAATATAAGCATTTGGTATTTGAGATGGAAAGAACCTGAGTGGTTCCTTGATGAAATCACTGAGCTAAGTCAACAAGTTAAAACTTTTGGAACTAGCTTTCCTTGAAACATCTTGTTATATGAGATATTAACTTGTCTTTGTTGTGTAATCATTTTTATTTGAGTTTTCGGCTATTATTTGCTGCTGAAAGCATGCTCACTTTTATGCATATCATAAAACACACACACATATATATATATCTGTAATATCTCTGGAGGTACAAAAGTATTAAAGAAAATCACAACTTAGTTTTAAAGGCAAAACAAATAAAATATATTTGAAAAAAGCAAGACTCGTCTGGCTTACTATGAAATGTACACTATCTTCTAGATATAAGAGTTTTAAGAATATGCTCAAGTAGTCACAAAAATAAGGCATTTAAATAAGATTTATATTAAAGTTAAGAATACTTCATGGGAACACCTTGATTTGGAGCATTTAATAATTAAGAAAGGCCGGGCGCGGTGGCTCAGGCCTGTAATCCTAGCACTCTGGGAGGCCGAGGTGGGTGGATCGCTCAAAGTCAGAAGTTCAAAAGCAGTCTGAGCAAGAGTGCTCAGTGATTTCATCAAGGAACCACTCAGGTTTTCCTCCAAGGACAAGATCAGAATGCAATGCAACCTAGAGTTACAGTAGATGGCCTCATATTTTAAGGTTTCTTCTAGATTTAAAGTTCTGATGTCTACCTAAAATTCTGTCAGTAGTTTGCCTGAACCACCTTACACCGCATTTTTAATATCTTCTTTAGGAGTTCAAGCAAAGTGCAGCTACAAAAACAAATGAATGACTCAGTATTAGTCTCTTATTTTTCATCTGTAAAAATTATGATATTATCCTCTATTGCTTAGAGTTTTTGAAAAGACTGAATCAGGAAATATACTTTTAAAGTTTATCAAAATTCTGGACACATTTTAGTTTTGTTTCACTTTTCTACAGCCTGCAGCTACTGCCTTTTGCCACTAGATGGCAATGCTGTATCAGCAAGTCAAAAATTGGCCAGGGTGCACCAAGAAAGTCTAGATTTTAACTTTGCTAAAAATCATATATATAAAATAAAAAATTAAATTACAAGTGTTTTCCTGGCATCTAATAAGTTGATAGATAAAACTTTGGACATTTAAAAGAAGAGGCTGTGATAATTTCACATTTGTAAGAAATCAAAGTGTTAATGGTGCTCTTCCTTTATATTTTTAAATCTTAATTCATTTTAAATAAGAATGTGGGTAAACCGGCCCACTGGTGGCTCATGCCTGTAATCCTAGCACTCTGGGAGGCCCAGGGGGTGAATTGCTCCAGGTCAGGAGTTGGAAACCAGCCTGAGCAAGAGTAAGACCCTGTCTCTACTATAAATAAAAAGAAATTAATTGGCCAACTAATATATATAGAAAAAATTAGCCAGGCATGGTGGCACATGCCTGTAGTCTCAGTTACTGGGGAGGCTGAAGCAGGAGGATTGCTTGAGCCCAGGAGTTTGAGGTTGCCTTGAGCTAGGCTGACGCCATGGCACTCACTCTAGCCTGGGCAACAAAGTGAGACCCTGTCTCAAAAAAAAAAAAGAATGTGGGTAAACCCTATGAAAAGGGCATTATGAAAGGTAAGACATATGCTGATATCTAATAAAAATGTTTGAACATTTACCTCTGACCCCAAACTGAGAGAAATGATCTCATCCTCAAAAGCAGAATGTGTGTCAATATGAGCAGGAATTCCTATGATGGAAAATAGGATAACAATGTCACTTCATTTTTCCTTTTAGTAGACTTAAGATGACTCTAAATATAGCCTCACACTAGTATGGTGAAAACATTGTTTGGCAATTGGGAAGGTACTATAATTTCAGTTAGAAAGAAACACGGTGAAAGCAACAAAAATATATTAAACTAAATCTACACTAAAAATGTCTTAACTTCAAGTTAAAGTGCCATTGGGACTTGATTCTAAAATCAAGGCTTGGAAGTCACTGCTTAACTAGGACACTTATCCCATTCTAGCCTAAGAAGAAGATGTGAAAGACACACATGAAAGTCATTTTTTTTCCTGGGAACACTGGATTCCCAAGTACTTGCAGAAAAAAAGCAACAGCCACATGTAAAGACTAAATAAACATATCAATAATTAAGACTTCCTCCAAAGATCTACCAATTTATATTAATTAAGCACCTCTTAAGTAAAAGAAACATTGCTACTTGGTGAGGGTACACAAAGCAAGTAAGATAGTCCCCATCCTCAAGAAGCTTAGGGATCAATGGAAACATAGATGGGTAAATAAGATAAACAAGGAATGCCTTAGCTGATGTGTTAGTCTAAAGTCAAATTCACTTGGCTTAGCCCTTTCCTCTCTTTTTCAGAGATAGCTGGTTTGAAGGATTACGTCCTATGTTATGGGAGCAGCCTCTGCCTTCTCTGCTGTGCCCGTGACAAGGTCAGTATGTCTCTCTTAACTCGGAGGGGAAGTAACTCTCTAACTCTCTAACAACTCCACTTGGCTACAGGTCTAAAGCTATGTTCTGCCTTCAGTTTTCACTGTGACAAATGTAGTAAAGAAAATAAAACTCTACAATTCCTGCCACTAATAAAACCCTTAAATTAAAAAGACCATAACTGTGGGGCCCTAATCTGATAAGACTGGCCTTACAAGAAATGGAAGTTCTGTATATCTGTGCATTCACACACAGAGAAAAGGCCACGTGAGCACAGTGAGAGAAGGTGGCCCACAGCAGGCCAGGAAGAGAGCCCTCAACAGAAACCCAATCCATGCACTTTGATCTTGGACCTCTCAGCTTCCAACCTATGAAAAACTACATTTCTGTTGTTTAAGCCAAAATAAATAAGACTCTTAAAAATCATTTGATTACTACAAGTATCAGATGAAGATGCTGCTAACAAGAAATCAATAGCCTAAAGATTTTTCACCAACATGCCACCTTAAAATTGTCTTCCACATTCTCAAATAGAGGAGAAAGAAAAAGATCACCCAACCAATTATCCTTCTTCTCTGTATCTGTAAATTATTTAGTTTCTTCCATTATACATGTCTCCTGTGTTTTTCAAGCCATTTTCTCCCTTTCTAAGTGAAATTGTGAGAGGGGGAACAACAACAACAACAAAAAAAACACAAACTGGTTTTTGTCAGTCTAATTACATTTGAGATGCAAGGTCCTTAAGGGATTGAAGTGTAGATTTGCAAAGGATTGAGGTGACCACAATTAACAAACATAAGCAAAGTAATATAATAGTTTGAGCTAAAAAATAACATCTTTGATCTTAGAGAGTTATGTAAGCTACTTAGTTTTGAAACATATGATTGAAATTTTGAAAGAAGAAATACTCACCATGTCCAGGTTCATACTGATTTACGGTCAATTGATCAGGTTTATGTTTAATGTAACCTTCCTTCAACCATTTCTCCAAAATGCTATTACAAATGTCAGGAAGACCTAAAGTCAGTAATCATAATGAAAAAACTAAAATAATTACATTGTATGTTTCACCCAAGAACAAAAAAAGTCACTGTAACAAAAATCACTCAGCTTTTAATTTAGCAGTCAAATCCATTAATATAACAATGAACCCACAAGGAAAACAAAATTAAAAAGTAAAAATTGAAATTAAGAATCTTAAAAGTTATTTCATTAATTTTTTTCAAATAAAAAGTCCAAAAGAACACCTGTCCTAACAATTTTGGTATTCTGTAAAATAGCAATAAAATTATAAAAATATACTACATATTGGAAGTTAATGACCACTTTCTTTTTGTTATTTCAAATTTAATTATTTTAAATAATTTCTCTTAAAAAAAACACAAACACCTTTCAAAGTAGAACTAACTTACTTTTATTGGAGTCATAAATGTGATTTCATGACAGAAGGAAAAACTAAAGTCATTTAAAAAATAGCTAAATTGAGCTCCAATGAAGAATGATACCAAAGGATTGCCACTCTAGAATATATAGTAAATTCTTAATCAATTAGAAAAAAACTGGCAAAGGAGCTGAAAAGGAATTCACAGGAAAGGAATACAAATGACCCACCTTACTACTAATCAGGAAATTACAAATTTAAAATACCACATGTTTTTACAATACCACATGTTGATAAGGGTGGGTAAAAGGGGAAGATGTTGGTATAGCTGTTTGGGGAGCAATTTGTCAGTATCTATTAACATTTCTAATGAGCATGACTTTTGACAGAAGTCTACTTCTTAAGAGTCTCCCTTGAGAAACTCATGCATAGTGCATAAAGAGGTGCATAAAGGTATTCACTGTAGCACTACTTATAAAAGCTACAAACCAGAAATAACCTAAATGTCTATCAATTGAGTATGTTATTATGTGTCATTTGGTAAACTGAAAATCTATACAAGATCTCCAAGACATACAGTGAAAGGAAAAGAACAAGTTGGCATGATACATGTAATATATGAATATACAATGTATGCCATAATGCCATGCAATACTATATATGTTAACAACTATGCACTTGTATAGGTATATATATTTGAATGTAAATTCATTTTTTAAAGAATTGGAAGGATATACATATACTAAACTGTTAATAGTACATACTTCTGAGAAGTGTGCACACAAGGACAGTAATGAAGAGGAACTTTAGCTATATCCATATGTTTGATTTATCTAATTAGAACATTTTAAATCAATTGTTTTGAAAATATATCTACAAATGACAAATGAAACATGTCCTACGAACTATATTTCACTTCTAATGTATTAAATCTTTTTTTCTGAACCAGAATTTAACAATTACTTACCCCCAGGTAATGGCTTATCTTTATCTACATTGTTGCTCCCATAGTGAAATTCATAACCAAAATGCTTTACTCTTCTGTGTTTTAAGGATTTTTGAACTGTGTGAAGAGAAGAAAATAAACTATTGGGGAGCAAAAGAATTGTATTCCTTCATATATTTCAAAGTCAACATTTTGGGTTAGGATTAGTTTAGTAATGGTAATTTCTATTAACTGTTAAATTACTCTCTTTAATAAAATTAACCATTCTGCCTCATCTTTGCTGTTCTTTCAAGTTTAAAATTGTAACAAACTCTTTTAAAGAATTTCACCCAATCAATCTGAAAGCTAAAAATGTTCACTGCCACTCACAAGACTACTAATGGTCTAGAAAGAGTTAAGAGCAACTCTACTTTACAAATATCTCCAAGAAGCTCTTACTACATTGGTGCTTGAACTGCTGATTCCACACGGAAAATTTGCCTTAGGGTGGAGAGGAATGAAAAAAAATAATATAAGTTAGATAATAAATGTTAGGTAATAAAAATCAGTTTGGAGCTATATAATTGATAGCTATATAAATGCTATTTTTATTAATGTTCCTAATAATTGTTAGTATGACTTGTCTAACATTAGATTCAGGGTATTTTCAGTAATTTTAAGGAAATATTAATAAACCAAAAAGAGAGGAAGAAAGGAAAAGCAGTAACATGACATTTTGCAGAAACTTTTAAATACCAGATTTTAAAAGCTTTACTTACAATTTTGATTATCTGTATCTTCTGTCCAATCAACACTTTCCAAAAGCATTTTCTCATCCTCGGAAGAAATTATTTCTTCTATTACCATGAGGCCTGGTGGTAAGGCTTGAGGCCCCATCTCTTTCCACTGTGCTATGGGAAAACAAATTAAAATAGTCACATACAAAACTAAAAGTTCCTATATACAAATAGCTCTACTAAGGACCTATTTATCAATTCACAAAACTCCCAATCCTCATTTTCAGAAATAAGAACACTGAAAGGCACATACTATATTAAAAGTGCAGAAACAAAGACCAAGATCAAAATGATGGTACATTTTACCCACTGCAATTACCAATAGCAAATAGAACAATATTTATTTAAATATGCTGTTTGAACATGATTAAATCACTTTTTAAATCTCACTAAGAGACAAGGTTTCTCATAATATCCACAGTATACACCTCCATTAAAAAAAAGTCAGATTGTCTATAAATAAGGAATAAAAGAATTTAAATGCTCATTTTTGCTCTTAGTAGCTTGATACTAGATATGGTCAAGTAAGAAAAAATGTAAAATAACATATAACTTTATAAAGGATAAAAAATATCATTTATGAAGAATTATTTAATGTATGTTAAAATAATTTAAGTTCCTGTATCCTTCAAAGTTTTAGAAAAGTATAGCTCCAGAAGGAAAAATAAAAAGAGTTTATTATTAGATAAAGGGAATAGTGTATTCACATTTACTGTTAGGGAGCTCATTGCATCACAGCCATAATTTATGAAGCTTTTCTGCCAGGTACTTTTCTGCCAGGCAAATTAAATCTTTGAATTATTTAATATAAAAAGTCATAAAAATAATGATTCTCTACTAGGTTCTATTAATATTTCAGAAACATACATAATAAATCATTTGATAAATATATACAAGTACCTACTATGTGTCAGACATTGTATTATTTATTTAATTTATAAAAGGAAAACTTTAGAAGGAAATCCTTAAAGATAAGTAATCGATAGTACAAGTAATTTGGATTTAGTTTCCTAAATATGTTTTTTAAAAAACATTAAAAATACCTGTCATATTTGTTACTCAGTGGCTATCAGGTAGCAGATATAAAAAACAAGTATCAAAATTATTTCTAACTCAGTTGTTCTCAATTAAAAATGATTTCCAATTAGATACATGATTGCTACAGTCTTAGAAGTACACCTGGATCTAAAGAAGGGTTTCAAATAAAGAACACTCCAAAACTCACTTTGTGCAATTCTTACTGAGTGTTCTCGGTACTGAATGGGGGAAAACCCCATGATAGTATTTCCTGATTAAAACTTACTCCTTAGCCACTCAGTTTTCAAAAACTGATCAGAAACACATACGATGCAAGGATGATCTACTTTCTAAACTATGTAAAGTTTAAATCAGATTTAAAATTACATACATATGGACACTGAGAAGTATAATTTCTAAAATACATCTTTAAAAGAGTCTGAAAGTTTTTGGGTCTTGTTTTACAAAAAGATAAACCTGATCAGATTACGCTCACCTACCCAGCCCCAGGATATCTAAACTGAGCTCCTTTATTGCCTAATTTAATTATTCAGTTCCTCAATCACACTATCCAGTGGCTATCACATTGGATAGCACAGACATGAACACTTCCATCATCACAAAGAGTTCTACTGGACAGCACTACCATAGAGTTTTAGGAAGCTGGTGGCTAAAGGTGTTCCTCCAAAAATATGAAGGTTGGCATATAACCACTTTGATCACAATGAATTCTTAAGTGATTCATTCAAAGCTTCTGGGTAAACACTAGGAAGTAAACTGGTAATCTGAATCCTCAATATTAAACTTTTAAAAGCACACGTAGGTAGGAGAGTTCCAAAATAAGCAACATGCATAATAAATATATTGTTGATAGGTGTGACTGGCTTCCCTTAGAGGCAGGATATGTCTTATTCACCTCTGTACCTTCAACTACTAGTCCCCCACACAAACTATTTAATGGGTACTTGCAGAATGTTTGTTAAAGCAAAATGGGCCACTAACCTGCTGTCCTCATTTTCTTTCACAATAAATAAACCCCCCAACTTATGTCTATGAAAAGAAAACTCATACAAAAGCAAGAACCACTTTTTAAAATACAACTGTATGTTAATACCTTTTTCCACAAAATTCAAATACAGAATGATCTTTTGTCCTAAATCATCCACTATTTCTTTTCCATTGAGAGTAACATAGGCTCTCTTGGATTCTTCTGTAGTATTGTATCTTGCAAATGAGTAGGGCTTGTTGGGTGGCATTAAGAGAGCTTCCACCAGTCCACATTTCTCTAAAACTGGGAGCAGTTGTCTCCTACTCACACCATTTCCCAAACCACCATTGGCAACAACCAGGTTCTTAAAAGACAAAAAAAAAAGGAAGTAACATAAGCAATTGATATCAATCTCTTTAAAAATAAAATTATTTTTAAATAAGATTTCTACAAAGGCATAATTAAGGGAAAAAAGGTTTCATTGAAGTTATTTGGTTTGCTAAATTTATACAAAGTATATAAACCAATTTACTAAATATTTGGGGAATAAAAAGTGCTCCTATGTTGCAAATAATATTGATTTTTAAATAACCTATTTCAGCAAAACATTCATTTCTTAATCACCATAAAATGCAAATTAAAAGAGGACACTATTACTCACACATTAAAATTTAACATAATGAAAGGAAAAGAGAATAAACAAGCAGTTACATAACATTTGCTTTTTGTCAGAGACTGTTCTATATGCTTTTGCCAGTAACATAATCTTCACAACAGAGCGAATTTATTTGGGTAATATTAACCCCACTTTATAGACGAAGAACTGAAGATCAGACAAGTTAAGTTAAGGCAGTGATTAGAGGTGGGTTTCAAACATATTTGTCAGTTTCCAGAATCTACACTTTTAATATAACCATTATACAATGTTTACTAAAAACAAAAAGTAAAGGTACTGACTCAAAGAAAAATCAATTATAAGTTCTACTGAACATAAACTAGGAAGATTTTCCTCCAGGTAAATTCAGTCTAATAATTTGGTCAGTTTATAATTAAAGTTTAGTCCTGCACTAAACTTTAAGGAAATTTGGGTGGGATGAAGGAGAAGTCTCTTATTTTTATTCTGATATTTATGGCCTAGCACCCATACATTCTCTATACTTAAAAACCATTCTATGTGGTGTTAAGATCTTAATTCATGATCTATGACTTCTAAAAACACTGTAGTATAACAAAAATAAGCCGTAGATGGTCTATTCTCATCAATTATCACTTATACCGGGTGTTGGCAAAGTTTTCCTGAAAAGAGCTAGATAGTAGATATTCTATGCTTCACAGGCCATGTAATTTTCTGTCACATAGTCTCAGTTTTGTTTTTTAACAACCTTTTAAAGATGTAAAACCATTCTTAGCTCACAAGCCTGATTTGGCCTGAGGAAAGTAGTTTGCCCATCCCTGATTCATATTAAGGTCAAGGTTAGTACATAGTGAATTAGTTTTATTATACAAAATGAGAATACCTAGAACCTTGTTTGAAAAGGATATAATAGAATAATTATAAAGTGGATAATAAGTAAAACTCTATTTTGTCATGGAACAGCCAATACCTTATATGTATGCAAGTACACACATACATATAATAAACAAACCCACTAATACAATACTGTATAATATGTCATAAAAAATTTTAGTCTCAGATTGCTTGCCCTGAACATCTTTAATGAAGTTTATTAATTAAAATACCAAAATGATTTGGTTATATCCATCCCTAAACATTTTCATTTCCTAAATCAAAGGAATTACAAAGGTTACATAAATCTCAAGGATACACTACTCCATCTATGAATGGAAGATGATGAGGCATGACTGGAAGAGAGGTCCTCATAGAGGCTGTCCAAGTGATTTGTGGGCAACTCTAAAGGCAAACCACAAAAAACAAGTGCAATAGGGGGTAAGGGAAGGGAGGAACTTATTTCCCATTACATGTGAGTTATATAATTAAATATAATAATCATTTTATTTATAATTATTCAAGCAATTTTCTAAATACTAAGAAGTATGAAGCAGAGAACTTAGATATTTATTGAAGTCATCTTCAGTGCTGACAATTTGAGGATCACTGCCCTAGAAAAATCTTATAAACCTTTAAATTTGAACAATGGAAACTATATTTATAACACATCATTAAAAGAATATGTGTTCTCCCCCAGGTAAATAAAATATAATTAGAGGTCCTTCTACAATTTTATTCTTTTTCTTTCAAAATTTGGTAAGGAAAAAAATAATCAGAGCTTAAATAAAATGCCTCTTTGGAAGCCATGAGGTGAGGTTAAAGCTTCTGGAGACCCTAAAGACAGATCCAACCAGAAACAAGGTTCAGAGACAGCAAAGAAACTCAGCCTGTTTTTTTGTTTTTTTTTTAATTTTGTTTTGTTTTGTTTTTCTTACTACTTCTCTTCATGGCCCCTGTAAGGAAAAGAAAGCAAGTCATGCTTGGGAAGAGACAAGAATAGAGTATATCAGTTTAATTTTCTGAATGCTTCTCAGCCTCAGTGGCTATTGGCTGAAACAGTAAAATCTATGCAAACATACTAATTCTAATCTACTCTATTCTAATCTATTATCTAGTCCATCCTTGCTATAAGAATTTGGCTTAAATTCTCTGAAGTCAAAAATATTTAACTCCAAGTATGGGCCTTTTACCTCTTAAATTCAAATGTCCCTCAACAGACTGCTCATTCCTAAATTAATCCAACACAGAAGACTGCGTGGTGAGCACAAGGGAAGAGTATCAGTCTGAGAGTCAACAGGCCTAAATTTTAATCCCTGCTCCACCCTCACAATGTTATGTTTGATCCTCAGTGAAATGATATCTAAGATTCCTTCTTACTCTTATTCTATAGCTTTCTGAACCAAAAATAGTATCATAAGAACTCCTTACATTCGTGTAGTATTTTAATGTCTAATAAGTACCATTAGATTCTCTAGAATCCAACAAGTCAATGGGGTAACAATGTATGCAATACTACGTTCTGCTTATAAATGAGGAAAGCCAAGGTCAAAGGTTATTCCTTATATCCAAATAAGTGGAGAAACTAAGAGTTAAACTGAGTTCTTTTAATTCATAGCCCAGGAAATTTCATAGTCCCTCATATTTATCATCTCATTTAATTATTGATGATCAGATAATGAAAAGGCTTTGTCAATAAGGTCTAATAAAAGAAAAATGTTTTGTAACACATAATCAAAATACTTTATAAAATAGGTGAGGTTGGGAACAGAAGAAAGAGCAGAAGAGAGAAAATTGTATAAGAATGCAGAAGATCTATTAATAGCTTTAAGTTCCTATTAGTCACTTGCTATTTTATATCAATAACCTCTCAGAACTTTAGTTTTCTCAATAAGGATATTTAGGGAATTAAATATAATAATGAATATAAGTATGCTCTGCTAACTAAAAAGATTTGTATAGTGTTATTATTATTATTGCCATATACCCACAACTTCTCACTCAACAACAAAATCAATAGAATTTCAAACTACAAAGCTATGGCCCAAAATAAAAAGTCAGCAGGTCCTATCATACGTGTATTTAATATGGATGTAACACATGACTAAACAATTACAGCCTTGAGCAATTATTAACAAATATTAATATAATACATTAACATGTCAATACATTTACATTTAAATGATAATAATAGTTTTAGGTCACCTGAGTGGCATAGGATACTGTCTCAATGCCTTCATGTCTCAGCAAAGTATGCTTGGCTTTAATCTGTTTCCTTAAGAACTTCTTCTCAGTTTTATTGAGTTTATAATTATGTTGATGGCTGCTGTCCATAGCAATACTGCAAAAAAACAGTAAAAAATGTCAATCTTAAGAGTCCTGAAGGAAAAATTATAATGATGCTATTCATATAATCTACATTCTATAGTTTATAAATATTTCTATTTGACAATTTTTTTAAACGCTTCATTTACCTTTCACTAATCAAGAGAAAAACAGACATACATAAAATAACGGAAAATCTAAGAACATCTAATAACATCTCTGACGGTTCCAAAAAATGTTCCAACATTGTAGCTCCATTTAAGCATGCTATTTTACTCATAGGTGATGAATCCTTTTACTTATGAAGTCCTAGGTAAAATGTACCATAGACAAAAATTCACAGTCATAATGTAGGCAAGGCAAGGGGGAGGGAATGAGGGAGGAAGAGGAGCAGGGGGCGAGGGGAGAAACTACAGAAAAATGCATGGAAGAATATACAGTATTATTCCATTTATATAAAGGTCAAAATCAAAAAGCCATATATTATTTAGAAATACATATATATAGCAAAGCTAAATGGAAAGCAAGGAAATGATAAACAGAAAATTCAGGAGAGAGGTTATTTCTGTAGAAAAAGGAAATTGATATAAAAGTAACACATAGGAATATCAAAGGTATTTCTTAAGATAAATGGTAGGTGTGTTTGTTCTATTATTTCAAAACTATACACAGCATATATTTATAGCTATAATTTTTTAAATAACATAAATAAGCACCTCATAAAATTGTGCTTTCGCTTTATTGAAATATGTCAATCAGCAAGTAGTTACTAAGTATTTTCCCAAAGAGGCTTCTATAATCACACTATCTAAATTAGCATCCTATATCCTGCTTTATCATAGTAGTCTATTTTATTTTGTTCACATAAGTTAACATAATTTGTTATGGTTCATCTGTTAGTTTAACTTCCCCATGATGATATAAACCCCAAGAGAGTAAGAATGCCAGCATACGGTAGGTGCTCAATAAATATTTGTTGAAGGGATAAATAAGTGCCTATTATGGTCTCAGCACCTGTAGTATACAACTATAAAAGAATATATAGTTTATGCTTTCAATAAGTTTATAAGTTAGTTGAGGAAAACAAATACTAAACAATGAAAGAAAATGACACATCTTTATATTAATATAACTAAGTGCTAGTATACAGCCCTTAGGTATGACATGAATTAGAGACAAAAAATAAGATGAATGTTAACTGGAAAGGTTGGGAAGACTTTCACACACAGGCTGACTAGTGCTGAGTTGTAATGGATAAGAACACTATAGAGTCATATGGAAAGGAAGGTATTCGTAGGGCAGTAAAGAACAGAAACTAAAACAGAAATGGACATGTCTGGCAAAGATAGTGAGGTATAGACATAATTTTTTTAGAGCAGAGAGAGTATGCTGACCTTCCACTCTCTACATACTTGAAAGTCTTCAAAGGTAACAGAAGAAACAAATTTAGGGGGTTAAACAGAATCATATTTCGAAACAGCTCATAAACGGTCAAAGCTCTAATTACTAATCTTTAAGCATAGAAGAAAAATACCAAGTCTATTGAAATGCCAGCAGACAGCCCAGCTTCCTAACACAGGAGGTACATATGATAAGAGGTAAGGCCAGTGAGGCAGGCTGGCTGGACAGCATACTAAGGAGATGAGTTAGGAAGACCTGCAATAACACAGCTTAGCAAGTAGAAATTCCTGATCTAGGCTGAAAAGTAGAAAGAAAGGGAACAGAGGGAGAGGGGAAAGAGGAGGGGTAAAAGCAAAGTTCAGGTAGAATCAATAGGTGTTGGTGTCTACTCAAGCATGAAAGAGGAATCAAAAATCACTCACAAAAGGTTAAGGCTGAGTGACTGAGAGACTAGTGATGTCATTCCAAAACTGGAAAGTCAGGAGGAAGGTCAGTCAGGAAGAGCTGCTCAGGAAGGGAGGCAATGAGTCAGATTTAGGATTTAATATTAATATGTTCAAGGTACTGGTGAGATATACAATTGCAATGTCACGCTGGCAGGTGACAATATGAAGTGGCTCCAACGAAAGGACTGAGGTTAGAAAGCTTTAGGAGTCATCATTAGACAAGAATGAGACAACTGAATATATATCTCAAATATTGTGCTAATTATAATTGTTTGTTCTACTATCTGTTCCCTTCCACTGAACTATGAGCTCTTTGAGGACAGGGATTAAAACATACTTTTCTTAGCTACCCCAGAGCCTCATTCAGTGCTATGAGACAGTATAACACAGTGTTTAGGAGTCTAGGTTCCAGGTTCAAATCTCAGCTCTACCACTTATTAGCTGTATGCTCCTTGCACACATATCTCTGTGTTTTAGTTTTTCATGGCTAAATAGGGATAGAGATAAAAATAATAGTGCCCATTTCATAGCTTGTTTAGGAGAATTAAACTGATTTATTACTATATTACTATTTTCAAAATAAGATCAGAATGGCTTAACGAGACAAAGAATGGTTGAGGGCCTTCAAAGAAGCTATTTTATAGCCATTGCATTCCAAGATTTCCATCTTTGGAACACCAACCTTGCAGTATGTCATGGAGAACAAGGAATGGGTACACTACACAATTTTTTTCTTAATATTTCACATAAGCAAAGATTTCAAAATGGAAGAAATGAGAAAGAAAAGATACCAAATACATCTTTTTAAAAGATGCCACTAAGAGTCCAGTACCAGCAGATGGAGCCTCATAACTACATTTTTGTCCTCCCCTTTCTGTTCTCACTTCCTCAGTCATGCGATATTATTGCATGTAAAGAAAGACAGATCCACATGGCTTTTGAGGCTCATTTTTCCTCCATTCCAGTAGCTTGGCAATGTGCTGGCCCAGTAGATCTGAGTTACCTTAATAAGGAATAGGCTGATACCAGCTGCTGAGGTTTGGAGGTACCTCTTTCCAATAAGGTCACTTCCCTGGCTAGGGAGTATCCACTATTGCACAAATGCTTGGATGCTCCATGGCATATTATGGGAGTGAGGTCACTATTTACTAAGATACTAGTCATACTGAGTCCAGTCCAGCCACCTCTAGCCTAAGCATACTCTCTGTGGGATGAGATTACACATGCTCTGTTACTTGCTTATTAGTAAATTTAACCCCAATACATCCTATTTGATAGTGCCCTAAGTGATAATGGTAGTATGAGTGTTCATGCCCTCCTTGAGCAATAGAGAACCTATTACAAATCAAGCAAGATAAACAAATATTCCTGTGCTTGTATGTAAATTATACTTAATTAATAGCAAAGATTAGAAAGAACCTAAATTCCTATTAAATGAGGCCTAATTGGAAAGCATAGCACAGGTATACAAAGCTTCCATACAAACCTTTAGCACACACAAGGAATTGGTGATATCTATGGGTGGCCTCCAGGGAGGGGAAATGAATAGATGAGTACAGGAATGAAAGGGAGTTTTCTTCTTTCATGACTTTTGAGTTTAGTAGCTATTCAACTTGCATTATCTATTTTTTAAAAAAATAATAAAGGTTTAAAATGATTAGAAAAGATTCACCCCATCACTTGTCAGGTCACCCCATTTTGACTCTTTGAAGTACACTTACTATACATTGTTGAATAAACCTAAATTGAACTTGCCATCTTAGCTCCTAAACCTTTCCTCCTCCAGAATTCTGAGTTTGGCAGCCTTTTTCCATGTTCTCATTAACACCTACCATGTTTCCCCGAAAATAAGACCTACCCATGAAATAAGCCCTAGCAGGATTTCTAAGCATTTGCACAATATAAGCCCTACCCCGAAAATAAGACCTAGTGATGGGCGTGGCTACGCAGCATATCTGCACAACCCATGCATTTCCTGGCAGTAAAGAAGATGAGCAGACCTTCTCATCTGCCCCATCGTGACAGCTACTATCCCAGAGGTGACCAGAAAGGTGCGGGCAGCCCCACCAACAAGGTCGGCTCCCCCTGTCAGGTCCCGGCCCTTGAGTGCTGCAAGCTGAGGCTTTGAGGGGAAAGTCTGCTCAGTGAAGTGAGGAGCAGGATGCTCCGCTTTAGGTATTGTGTGTCCCCAGGGGGAAGAAGGAAAGCTGTGGCTGCCATTTTACTCAGCACTGGGGGCCTCTCTCACCCCCCCCAAACACCAGGGGATAGGGGAAAAGCTTCAGCAAGCAGTCTCTTTCTGAGCCCAGAGAGATCATTTCTGCTCCACTGTGCAGATTGGACCCAGTGCTCACTGGTGCTCTGATAAATAAGCCAGCCCTTACGCATCAGCTTTGCTGGCCTATCTCTGCTTTTCCTGAGTATCTGTACCCCCAGACAAGATGAGTGCAAAAAGAAAGAGCTCTTCTGTTAAGTATGAGAAAGAAATTGTGGAGGACTCCAAGGGCAACAATCTTACAGCTTTCTGCAAAGAGAAGTTGGATATCCGAATGGTCCGAAAATGGCAGGCAGAATATGATAACCTCAGTCTAGATGTGGACAGAGGAAATGCTAAGCTCAAGTGTGGTTCAGGTCGGCAATCTTTATTTCCCGAGTTGGAAGGCATGATGGGTGAATGGATTACGGACAGGAGAGCAAAGGTTTTGGTTGTGCGCAGGGCCCTTGCACTAGCACCACAGTTAGAAATATCCACAGAAGATTTCAAAGCATCACAACACTGGCTGGATCCCTTCCTTCAGCGATATGAACTGTCTCTAAGCACTTGCATTCAAGTCCTTTGTTGATGGCATCGACTTTTCTAAATACCAACTTTGCAACATGATTGCTATGGATGAAAGTGCAGTGTTTATGGGTCAAAGAGCCCTAACAACAATTGAGCAGAGGGGTTCCTCCTCAATCTACATTCCCTCCACTGGTCAGGAAAGTTCGAGAGTTACCTGTATTTTGGCAATTCTTCTGGATGAAAGTCACACCTCTTATCATCACTAAGGGCAAGAAAGATAAGATTGAAGGTGTTTCCAACATTTATGTTTTTGAGATCGAAAAAGCCTGGTGCACACAAGCAGTTATAAGGAAGTGGCTTGATTTAATGCTGCCACTTGTTTTGCGAGGTGGCCAAAGAGGTCTGCTAGTCTAGGATTCAGCCAGCACTCACTGTGCTAAAGACATGAAGAACTTCCTTGCAGAGGAAATAATGATTCAAATTATTTATATTATATTTGATCAAGCAGATCAAATAATGATTCCTGCAGGAATGACTGACTATCTGCAGACTCTTGATATTGCAATAAACAAGCCATTCAAAGACCATTTGCACATGGAAATTAACGACTACATTGAAAATAGGATGACAAGAAAACAGCGTGGAAACTTTGTGAAGCCTAGCCTGCAAGAGGTCATGATTTGAGTGAAGAATTCATGGGATAAAATCACTGACAGTGTTGTTACCAATGCACTCCGAGCAGGTTACATGGATAAGAGCTGCTCATTTAATGAGAGCTCTATTGCTTGACATGAGAGATTGGGGCCAGTGGTTCTAAAGGAAATAGAATCACAAGAAATTCAGGATGGAATTCAGGGTTTGGAGAGTTATGATGATGTTCCAGAAGAAGACGACTTAACTATATTTGAATAAATGTAGATTGTTGTACCATACTTAAAAAAAATAACACATCCCCTGAAAATAAGCCCTAGGGTGTCTTCTTGAGGAAAAATAAATATAAGACCCTGTCTTATTTTCAGGGAAACACGGTAGTACCTATCCCTGTCTCTGGAGTTCTCACATTGTATTATAATTACCTGTATGTCTTGGGCTCACCCAGAAGACTATCATCTACCTGACGGCAGAGATCTTATGCCCAGCATACAGTTCAGAATAATTGTTCGATGAAATTAGTGTTAGCTCATGCCTGTAATCCTAGCACTCTGGGAGGCAAAGCGGGAGGACTGCTCAAGGTCAGGAGTTCGAAACCAGCCTGAGCAAGATCGAGACCCTATGCCTACTAAAAAAATAGAAAGAAATTAATTGGCCAACTAAAAATATATAGAAAAAAATTAGCTGGCCATGGTGGCACATACTGTAATCCCAGCTACTCGGGAGGCTGAGGAAGTAGAACTGCTTGAGCCCAGGAGTTTCAGGTTGCTGTGAGCTGGGCTGACGCCATGGCACTCTAGCCCAGGCAACAGAGTGAGCCACTGCCTCAAAAAAGATTAAAAAAATAAAAACCACAGGCCGACACCACCAGAGGCCCAAGGGTCGTAGGGACTGCTCAAATGAGAAGAGCACTAGAACAATCAACTGCGCAAGCGACCAAGCCGTCAGCAAGCATTGCCTTTGCTTTTTACTAGATTGACGCTGGTCAGAAAAGCCCCAGAGTGCCAAATTAACGCGCCCCACGTTGTAACCACCTGTCTCCAACCCCCCCCCCACACACACACACAAAACAGAAGATTCACACAGACACGACGTGAGCACCCGAACCAAACACAAACACGTGCACCGTAAACACTAACAGAACCACACAACGCCCTACTGCCCACAGACGGTAACACAGCGGCTCCCGCCCAGATCATCCCTCCCTTCCCTAGGTTTTCATTCTCTATCAGCGAGGCGGGTAGAGTAGATCGGAAGAGCCTGACAAGAGGAAGGAAGTATCTGCAGCACTTCTGCCTTGGCTCAGGCCAGGTTCTCACCACGCGGGTGCTCTCCTTTGCTAGCCTCTCCACTCTAGCCCCAGAAAGCAGCGTCCGGTACTTGCACACCACCTCACCTGGGCGCGGCCATGTTGGAGAAAACTGCACTACATTTCCCATGAATCAGCGGGGCGACAAACAGAGCTCCCACAATCCCCTTCGTCTCCCAGATGCCCGTATGGTCCCTTTCTCAGCCGGTTGCCTTTGTTTGTGAGGTGCTGTCTATTATGGTGGAAATTCAGTTGTCTTATTTGGGGAAATAGTGACGATGAATACGGCAGCTTTATTTTTATAGGTCGCTCCCCAAATGGGCAAGGTCAAACAAGCCTGTGTCCTTCGGTCCGTCAGTAGTGGCCCCCGTCACCTTGGGCTCTTTGTGCGTATTTCCTCCTGAATCTTTGGTATGGGAGAGTATCTTAGGGTCTGAAAGATGACCGCATGGTCGAGAGGGAAGGAGGTTGACTATGCACGAACGTGCCAGGGGAATGGTGAGTAATAGGAAGATATGTGGAAAAATGTTGAAGGAAGCAAGACAGAAAGGTCGCCAGATTATTAGAAAACCTAATGCCATTCTATTCTGTAGGCCTAGGAGTGGGGGTGGGAAGCTGGGAAGATTAGAGAATTTAAGTGATATAACCAGAGCTGCTTGGGGAAGGTGGGAGGGGAGACTAGAAGATGGCTGTTGCAGCGGTGAGATGAAAAGTAACTATTTAACTGGGACCCAGCAAAGGAAAAGGAAAAATATTTTATATCAAAAGTAAAAGACACAGGAGAGGGCGATGATTAGCAATTGTACCTGCTTTAATGTTATTTGTGATGCAAGTATATTATAATCATTATACCTGCATTAGGTGATGAGCTATGTGAGTGCAGGGAAGCAAACCTGGGGAGCGAGGGAATCATCTTCCTATGATGAATGTTGATACAATGCCCCAATTCACACTGTACCACAGTGGGCTATCAGTAAAAGTTAAGGCTGGCTAGCTGGCCGGGAAAAGTAGCATTGAAAAGAGAGTGTTGTTGAGTGGAGGAATGATTTATGTGGAGAATAAGTTAGAAGGAGGAAAGAATAGAAATTGGAAGGTAGATAGGCAGCCATTTCAGTGAGTCTAGGAAAGAAAGGAGGAGACCAAAACTGAAGAGCAAAAGTGAGGAGGTGAGTGCAAGGTGGAGAGGTCAAATCAACCAGACATGGCGAAGTATTTATACTTGGATGTAAAAGGAAACGTCTCTCCCATTGCAATCTTGCTTCTGCACTACTAGATGCTTTCAAAAATATATTGCAACAGAATTTTCTGCAATGATGAAAATGTTTTATAATCTGAATTGTCCAATATGATACACACTAGTGACGTGGCTTTTGAGCATTTCAGATGTGGCTAGTACAACTAAGGAACTGAATTTTGAATTATAAAAATTTTATTTAGTTTTAATTAACTTAAATAGCCACATGTGGCTAGTGGCTTCCAAATTGGACAACAGTAGAAAATAGCCCCCTATCTCCTATTGGCCAAATTCAATTATGTCATCTCAGTATCTGGCCTGCTTCAAGATACTTAAGCTTTTAAAGCTTTTGATTTTCTAAGCCTCTGCAAAATCACTCTTTTAGTTCTCTTTGTACATTCTGATCACTTTTTTTCAGTGTTTTCCACCAGTTTCCCTCCCTCTATGTATAATTAAACACAGGCAATCCCTCAGGTTTTGTGTTTGACCTTTTTCTCTTAGTCTATAGCCTCTCCTGCATGCCTTCCCAAAAGTTTTAAAGAGATTGTGAATAATTCCCTAATCTTAACCTTTAGCCCTGACTTTCTTTTAAGAATCAGTTTGGGGCCAGATGTGGTGGTTCAAGCCTGTAATCCTAGCATCCTGGGAGGCCAAGGCTGGAGGACTGCTTGAGGTCAGGAGTTTGAGAGCAGCCTGAATAAGAACAAGACACCCCCTCCCCCACTACTCCCTCCACCTCTACTAAAAATAGAAAAAATTAAAATTAGCCAGGTGTGGTGGTGTATGCCTTAGTCCTAGCTACTTAGGAGGGTGAGGCAGGAGGATAACTTGAGCCCAAGAGTCTGAGGTTGCTGTGAGCTAGGCTGATACCATGGCACTCTAGCCATGGCACTCTAGCTGGGGTGACAGAGTGAGACTCTGTCTCAAAAAAAGGAATCAGTTTGATTTAGTGAAAATATGAAGGCATCGGAGTATGTCCTGAAGTAGAAACTGCAAAAGAGTATTTACCTTTTAGGACTGTTGGGATAATTAAATAAAATACCATGTATAGAGTAGTTGTCAAATGGTTGTTCATTTCTCCTCTTCTGCTCCTGAGTTACAGGCCCAAATTTCCAACTACCTGCTGTCCATCCTTGCCTCAAATTCCTTAGAAAAATGTAAATACATATAAAATTCTGTATATAATCCTTTGTATACAGGCCCTTATCTTTTCTTGGAGTATCACACAGATCATGTCTCCTAGAGAAGATGACTCCCTTAGTGATTTTCACTACATTGAGACCCTGTTTATTCATCATGTAACCCCATAATATTTGATAGTCTATAATGATAGGAATTGAATAAATGTTGAACTGAAAAGAAATTTTAATTAGAAGATAAAATTCATCTTCACCTGTGCCAAAAACTACCTGATAATCTATAATAATTTTTCTATAATGTTTCAAAGATATGAAATGCTGACCTAGGCTTTCTTTAGTGAAAAACTAGTGTCAGCTTCATGACGAGTGAGTCCTCTGTGTCAACTGTGCCTGGGTTGGCAAGATTTTTCTGTGAAGGCCAGATTATAAATATTGTTGGTTTTGTGGCCACACATTTTTCTTTGTTTTTGTTTTTTGTTTTGTTTTGTTTTGTTGCTTAATAACCCTTTAAAAATGTAAAAACTTTTCTTAGCTCCCCCTGCTTTTGCTGGCACGATTTGGCCAATGGGCTATAGTTTTCCAATCCCTGGGCCCTCTTCTTAAACTCTGTAATCAAGAGCGGAGTCTCAAGGTAAAACTAAAATGGCCCTGCTAATGAAGATATTTATTGTAAATTATAATATAGTATAAATGAATTTAATCAGATTAGCCAACATTGGAAATAAAGGAGACAGAATAAAAATAAATAAATAAAAGATTAGCCAAAAATACATTTTAAAGCATTGAAACGTAGAGTTCCAGAAATTTGGGCTAGGAGCGACATGTCATTTAGAATTGATTCTAGTTGCCAGTAACAGAAAACTGGGCTGATTACTTAAATAAAGTTATCTTTCCTCAAATGACAAGCCATCTAGACAAAGGCAATCAGTAACATTGGTACTGCTTGCCTTGTCGTAAAGAACGCAGGTGCTTTATACTCTGCTCCACCATCCTTGGTGTATTGATTTTTTTTATCCTCATTTTTTTATGTCTCCTGGTTACAAGATGGCTACTGCAGATCCAGGTATCTTGTCCCTATACTATCATCTCTAGCTGGAAAAGTGGAGGAGTAACTCCATCTATATCCAGGAAATGAAGCTCTCCATGGACTTTCCTTTTTTTGTTTGGTTGGTTGGTTTTGTTTTGTTTTGGGTGTTTTTTTGTTTTGTTTTGTTTTGTTTTTACCACAAATGGGTTGTATACTATAGTCGGCAGAATAATGTACCCCCATGGTCACAGTCTAATCCCTGGAACGTGAATATGCAGGTGTAATTAGGTTTGCAGACTTTAACACATTGGCTGCCACACTAGAAAAAAACATTCCTTTTCCCCTTGGGCCATGGTGTTTTATTACAAAAATAAAAACTTTGAAAACAAAATGAGCCTTTCTAATTTGATGAAAATTTTATTTTTTATTGTTTTCTGAATGTGAGTTATATGCAACTTCAAAAATAGTTCTCACAGCTCCCAAAGTGAAGAGACATGTGAGTTGCATATGCTTCACAAGGCCTTCGGTACAAAACTAGTGTGAGTTAAATACAACTCACACAGCAGTTAATGTGTTAAAATAGATTATTCTGATTACCCAATGGCCCAATCTAACCACACAATTCTTTAAAAGCAGATCATTCACTCTAGCTAGAGTGAGAGATGAAGCTGAAGAAGTCAGAATGATTCCAATTGTGAAGGATTTAATACCTTGTTTGCTGGCTCTGAAATGTCAGGGTCCATGTGCAAGGGCCTGAAGCAAGGCCTCTAATGAGCTATGAGCCAGCTCATCTGATAGCCAACAAGAAATGGAGACTTCATCCTACAACCACAAGGAATTGGATTCGTTCAACAACCGTACCTGAAACCAAACCCTTCCCAGAGTGTCTTGATAAGAGCTTAGCCAGCCAGCGTGTTGATTTTGTCTTTATGAAACTCAAAGTAGAGAAACCAAACAAACCAACCCAAACTTCTGACCTACAGAACTGTGAGATAATAAATTTGCTTTGAACTGCTAAATTTGTGGTAATTTGTTACATCGGCAAAAGAAATCTAATATACAAGCTTACCCCGGACCAATCACTAGCTAAGGGAAGTAGAATTACCAGGACTGTTTGTTTTAAAACCAATCATGATTCACTCTATGGGATTAAGATGAAACCTATCCTCCCTAAAATTGAGAGACCTTGATAGGCTTGGGGGTTTGGGGGATGGAATGAGTTTCCATTAGCAAGAAAAAAGGGAGGGTGGGAGGGGGAGGAGGGGATGGGTATATACAACCACAAGGAGTAACATGTGCAACATTTGGGGCATGGACACGCTTGAAGCTCTTACTCGAGGGGGGAGGGGGGCATGGGCAACATATATAACCTTAACACTCGAAACCCCATAATACGCTAAAATAAAAATAATGAAAAAAACTAAGTAAATAAATGAACATGACTGTGAAAAAAAATTTAAAAATAAATAAATATTTACAAGTAGGATTCAGAAAAAAAAAAAAAAAGAAAGAAAACAAAAAAGGGAGACATTTGCTGGGTAGACAATTAAGTGTGTTCCATAAGGGAGTTGAGCACTTATTTCTAGCCAGATTATCATAATAATGATCCCTCTCAAAATCGGGAGAGAAAAGGGTGCTAAAAGGATGAGCACTCTCATTAACTTATAAAGCAT